CGACCCTGTCCTCCACTCCATGACGACTGCTCACCCCACTCCATGGCGGCTCGAGCAAGCTTCCTCCCCTCCCCTCCATGGATCCAGCCACCCCTCCTCCACGTGCGTCTTCCCTCAAGTCCGACAGTCTCCATGGCGTCCCCTCCCCCCCACTCCATGGCCGCCGCGACCCTCCCCCGCGTCCCACGAGATCTGGCCGATGGATTTGAGCAAGCCATTGGCGCGCGACCGGCGGGCTCAAGCAAGCCGTTGACCCTCTCCTACCCCGACTGAAAGGTTCTAATATGGCTAGAGGGGGGTGAATAGCTTATTTAAAAATCTACAAACCAACTAGAGGAATTTGATTAGTATGACAAATAGCGAAAAGTCAACTTGCTCTAACTCTACAAGGGTTGCAAGCCACCTATCCAACAATTCTAGTTGCTATGATCACTAATCACATAATTTACTAAGTTACTACTCACTAAGAGCTCTCACACTTGCTACACTAAAGAGCTCCACTAGATGAACTTAAACTACAAAGTAAGCTCTCAATTCTAGCTACACTAAAGAGCTTGCTACAGCTAGTTTGCAGGAATATAAATGAGTAAGTAGGGTAATTATACCGCCGCATAGAGGAGTGAACCAATCACTCAAGCAATGCACTTGGATTCTCTCCTAATCTCACAAAGATAATGAATCAATGATGAAGATGAGTGGGAGGGCTTTAGCTAAGCTCACAAGGTTGCTATGTCAATGCAAATAGCCAAGAGAGTGAGCTTGAGTCGGCCATGGGGCTTAAATATAAGCCCCCACGAAATAGAGTCGTTGGCTCCTCAGTCCACTGAAAAACGGGGCGATCGGATGCACCAGTCGGTTTGACCAGACGCAGGACCTCAGCGTTCAGTCACGCGATGCACGCCACGTGTCCCCTACTTTAAATGCTCATCGCCCGATCTCAACGGTCATCTGTACACTTAAGTTGTGATCGGACGCGCTGCTAGAAGTGACCGGACGCACCATCACCAGCGTCCGATCGTTTCTAGTAAGGTTTCACTCGCGATCAGACGCGTCCGGTCATGCACGACTGGACTCACCCAGCGTCCGGTCACTCATCGTCAACTCTGTGTGCCGCCACATCAGCACGATCGGACGTTAAACAGTGTTCAGTCAGAGACCGAGGGCGGCCTTTACTGCGCGCCACTGACCGGACGTTGGGTCAGAGTCCAGTCACTGCGTGACCAGCGTCCGGTGCACTCTGTGAAATCATGTCTTTTCTGTACAGGGCGTCGGTGGCACCGTCGGACTATCCGCACTCTACGAGCGGACATTGCACCGGTGAAGTTTCGAACCATTGCTCCTAAGCGCTAAACACAATGTATATCACCTTTGTGCATGTGTGTCAGCATATTTTCATAAATATTTTCAAGGGTGTTAGCACTCCACTAGATCCTAAATGCATATGCAATGAGTTAGAGCATCTAGTGGCACTTTGATAATCGTATTTCGATACGAGTTTCACCCCTCTTAATAGTATGACTATTAATTCTAAATATGATCACACTCGCTAAGTGTCTCGATCACTTAAACCAAAAAGCTCCTATCAATTTCACCTTTGTCTTAAGCTTTTTATTTTTCTCTTTCTTCCTTTTCAAGTACAAGCACTTGATCATCACCATGGCATCACCATTATCATGTCATGATCTTCATTTGCTTCACCACTTAGAGTAGTGCTAGCTATCTCATAATCACTTTGATAAACTAGGTTAGCACTTAGGGTTTCATGAATTAACCAAAACTAAACTAGAACTTTCACCGGTCGGTCGCACCCTCCCTAGGTCCGGCAGCGTCTTTTCTCCCTCGGCCGACGGTGGGCATGGCGGGGGCGTGCAGGCACGCACCATCCAGCAAGCCTACGCCACCGCAGTTGCCCACCAGCTAGATAGGTCATGGCCGCGCGGCGATGCTGTGTTGGGACGCTTTTCAGACATGTTGCAAGCCAAAAGTGTTTTCAATGGTTTCAGATGTATGTTTTATTTGTTTTATGCGGATATTGTAAAAGTAGACCGGGATGTTGCATATGTTGCAATGGTTGTACACGTATGTTGCAAGCGTCTATCCCCAGTGTTTCATCTATTTTTTATACACGTATGTTGCAAGTGTTTTAGACGCATGTCTCAAGTGTTTTATCTATCTTTTTTTATGTTGCATCTGGATATTTAAAAAAGTAGATCAAAATATTACACATGTTGTAATAGTGTTTTAATTATATGTTTTAAATGTTTTCTCTGGTTTAGATGTACGTTGCAAAGGTTTTATTTTGACGCTGTAAAATAGATCTGGGTGTTGGCGTACACTATGTTGCAGGCGCATGCGGTCCCCGTGGGCAGGCGCAACAGTAGCAGTAGCAGGCGCTGGCAAAACAGCAGGCGCACTAGCACGCAGGCAGGTGCGGGAAGCAGCAGGTGCATCAGCACGTGGGCGCTTCCTTTTTTGTTCAGTATTCCTTCCTCATGAATAGGACGTACAGTACAGTACAATGTTAAATAAGCCCTTGTTTAGTTCGCAAAATTTGGATTTTGGAGCTACTGTAGCACCTTCGTTTTTATTTGGCAAATAGTGTCCAAACATTGACTAATTAGGCTTAAAACGTTCGTCTCGCAATTTCCCACCAAACTGTGTAATTAGTTTTTCTTTTCGTCTACATTTAATACTCCATGCACGGGCCGCAAACATTCGATGTGACAGGTACTGTAGCAACTTTTTAGAAGTTGGGCACCAACTAAACACGGCGTAAGCCTTTGTTTAGTTTCACGCCAACTTCTAAAAATTTGCTATAGTACATGTCACATCGAATGTTTACGGCCCGTGCATAGAGCATTAAATGTAGACGAAAAGAAAAACTAATTGCACAGTTTGGTGGGAAATTGCGAGACGAACGTTTTGAGCCTAATTAGTCCATGTTTGAACACTATTTGCCAATATAAAAACGAACGTGCTACAGTAGCCCAAAATCCAAATTCCGCGAACTAAACAAGGGCTTTATAGCTTCGACTAATAATAATTAGATGTAGCTTTTTTCTGACTAATAATTAGCTCTAGCTGATCCAATTTGATTTACACTTGTTCCTTCAAAAGTGGAAACAACCACCGGACGCGAAGTAGCAGGGTTATTGGTTCTATCACATAATTTCCGAAAAACAAAAGTTCTTTGATTTTTTGAAAGTAAGTAAGCCCTTTTTAGTTCCACCTCAATTTCTAAAATCTGTCACATCAAATGTTTACGGCCTGTGCATGGAACATTAAATGTAGACGAAAAGAAAAACTAATTGCACAGTTTGGTGAGAAATTGCGAGACGAACGTTTTGAGCCTAATTAGTCTATGTTTGAACACTATTTACCAAATAAAAACGAAGATGCTACAGTAACTCCAAAATCCAAATTTCACGAACTAAACAAAGGCTAAATAAAAGTCCGAAAAGTCATCAGAGCACGCTGGTTAAATCCCGTGCGTCGCAATTAAACGACGTCGCGTTGTAATTACTTAAGACACCAGACGGGAACGGGGTGATATAAAAACTCTCGCCGATCGACGAGAATAGCCCAGCTAGGGCCGTTGCTGAAATTTTTGGCAAAATGACATGGTAGCGTTTTTATTGTTATTTAATAATTAATATTTAATCATAATCTAATTAGGCTTAAAAGATTTGTCTCGTGGATTTCGTCTAAACTGTATAATTAGTTTTATTTTTTATTTATATTTAATGCTTTATATATACGTTTAAAGATTTGATGTGACAAAAAATTTTAAAAAATTTGGTATTTTGGGAGAAAACTAAACAGGGCCCTGGTATGGAACTGAAGCCAAGCAAGCAGTTGCGAGTAGCGATGGGCAAGTGGGATTTGGCATCGATCTCCGATCCGACACCTACCACGATCGAATCTGTGTCGTCGTCGTCAATCAAATTAACAAATATTTTACGTCACATGCATGATGATACCGCCGAAACAGCAATCCGTGTCGTCGTCCTCTACTGCCGTGCGGTGCCGCCGCCCATCATCATCAAAACCGAAACCTGGATCTGTCGCCTGTTCGCTTGTTGGTTTCAGCCAGCTCAAACTAGCCAGCCAACAGTGTTTTTCTCTCACAAAAAACCAATACCAGCCAGCCCAAACCAGCACCAGCACCAATCAGCGAACAGGCCCTATGGTGGGTTTTTTTTTTCTGGTTCAGCTTCGGTGGGTGTTTCTGACTAAACTTTAGTCCTTATTTAGATCACCTTTAAATTCTAAGTTTTTTCACTCTCTCTCCGTCACATTAATTTTTAGCCGTTTACATAGAGCATTAAATGTAGATAAAAAAAATAACTAATTACACAATTTAGTTGGAAATCACGAGATAAATCTTTTGAGCTTAGTTGGTCCACGATTGGATAATATTTACCAAATAAGACGAAAGTGCTACTATTTATCGGATTGCAATTTTTTGCAATCTAAACATGGCCTTAATCCCTTTGTTAAAAAGAAAGCTGGTCCATCATCCATATATAGGCCTCGTTCGCTTGTTTTAAATTTAGCTTGCTCAGTTTAATTTTTTAACCGGAATAGTGTTTTTCTTTCGCAACAATTTTTTCAGCCAGTTTCAGGTGTACATGGGTCTCGCTCGTCGTCGTCTCAGCTTTTGCAGTGCAGCAGGCAGGCAGGCACGCAGTGGTAGGGCCACGGCGTGCAGCAGCTGCATGCATGTGCAGTACTAGCTAGCTAGCTAGCTATAGCGCAGAGTGTCGCGATCCGCGACCTGTTTGCTAAGGCGCTCTGTTATCAGATTTAGCGTGAAAGAAAAATACTATTTATCGTCTGATAAACCATGCTTGTCAAATATACTAGGCAGCTAACAGGCTGCCGATCGATCGAGTAGGCAGCCAGCAGAGTGAGCGCGCGCGCGGCATTCGGTTCCATCCATCGAGAGACCGATCGATCGAGCGGCTAGCAGGTAGCAGCGGATTGGATCGATCGGTACGATGGGTCGGGGCGACTCGGCGGCGTCGGCGGCGGAGCAGCAGTCGTCGTCGACGACGGCTCCGTTGCTGGAGAAGACGTCGGTGGAGGCGGAGGCGTCGGAGGCGGGCGGCGGGTACTACTACGTGGAGGGGTGCCCAGGGTGCGCCGTGGACCGGCACAAGGCGGCGAACCCGGGCATCCCCTACGCCAACTTCATCTACGTCTGGATCGTCACCCTCTGCACAGGTACGTATACGCCGGCCATGCCATTCCATGATTCCATCTGATGTTTGTGCACCTCTGCGCCGACTGCCATGCCTATGTACGTGCTTGCCTTGGATCGATATATTCCCCTGCCGGCGCCGCCGCCGGCGCCTTGTTCTCTCTGTTTCTCCCTCAACTAGACTTCAGCTCCTCCCTCAACTGCCACCATCAGCATGTAGTATTGCACGGCACAGCATTGCCGCTCGCTCACAACGACTTGTACGACTCCTGCTAGCTACCTAGCAAAGGCAATGATGCATCGGTGTTGGGGCCCCAGTGAGTGTGTCCTTCTCCTCCAAGGGACAAGGGTGGGTATAGGCAAGGACCGGAGGAGGAGGAGGAAGTGACCGTGAGCCAAAGCCCAAAGGCAATGATGCCCAGTTGGCGCTGCCGCGCCCGGCGCCTCCCTCCGTCGTCTTGGTTGGGTTGGGGGTCCCCTACCACCGTCCACCCACCACCAGCACGGGTGCCTGGGAGGGAACGGAACGGAACGCTGAGGGAAAGGGCATGGAGTGGACGAACGACGCCACTCGCCTCCCTCCATCTGTTGTACTATGTAGCACCACCGATCCATTGGTGTTCGTTCGTTATCTGCCTAATCCATTTGCGTTCCTTGTCTGGCCTGGGCGCCTGCCTGGCTGGCCATTGGCATTGGGGGAGGAGGGGTGCGTAGTAGGCGACGATGGAAGGGAAGGGAGGCCCTCGCCAGTCGCCACCGCCAATGGGCTAGGAGGAGCGCAGCGGCGCCGCGGCCCGCGGCGCCCTTGCTGCGCAGCAACTACGACGACAAAGGCCGCCGACGGCGACGCCGGCCACCGCCGCCCGGAAATGGAGTGCCCCGGCTGCGCGTACGACCGGAGGAAGGAGGAGCTCCGGCTCCGGAACGCCAAGCCGTACCGGGAGTTCCTCTACATCTGGATCATCTCCCTCACCGCCGGTACGTCTTGACCTCTACCGCGCGCGTACGGCGTACGGCGTACCGCCATTCATTCTCAGATTAGATTCTCTCGCTCCTTGCTTTGCTCTGCCTCTGCCTCTGCCTTGTCTTGTCTCGTCGTTGTTCTGCTACAGCCCTGTACACTAGATTCCGGGAAAGATTCTTAATTTTTGCCCCCAATTACCCGAAAATTCCATGACCTGTGTAGGCGAATGCCAACCGTATATAGTGCACATACATTAGTTGCCAACACATGCATGAAACCGTACTGCAATAAGAGTATGGATAAAAACGGTACGGATATTTATTCGACCGTCCGTTCGACCGAACAAATATGAACACTTATCTGGATAGTTACTCGGATATCCGTTTTTTTCCGGATACGGATACTAAAACGGATATCTTAGGCGGATATCAAATACGGATGTAATATCATCGATATCCGGCGGATATCGGATAATCCGGATAAGTATCGGATATATCCGGATATTTAAAAACGGATATTATCCGGATATTTATTCAAAATTTAAAAATCACAAATTTGAACCATCTAAACTATCTCAAATGGAAAGTTGACCAAAACAATAATTGTAGATCTTGATGAGTTGAACAAACTTGGTATTCAAAACTTTTCAATTTGAAGTCATTTAGAGTTCATAATACTAGAGTCAAAGTGTTGTTTTTTCATTTGACCAAATTTGACTTGGTCAAACTTGCTCAAATGAGACACTAAATGACCTCAGATGAAAAAACTCTGAATACCAAGTTTGATCATCTCAGCAAGATATATAATTGTTACATAGCTCATTTTCCCATTTGAGAAAGTTTTATCAAACACTAGTCATAAATTCTTAAATCTCATATAGACTTTCTGAAACTATGTCACACACTTGTGAAATTTGAACTATATTTTGTTCAAACTTTCTGAAATGAAAAAATGGCCTATATAAGGATTGTATATCTTGATGAGATGAACAAATTTGGTATTCAAAACTTTTCAATTTGAGACAATCTAGGGTTCCGAAAACTAGTTTGTAAGCATCGAAATTTAAAAATCACAAATTTGAACCGTCCAAACTATCTCAAATGGAAAGTTGACCAAAACAAGAATTGTAGATCTTGATGAGTTGAACAAACTTGGTATTCAAAACTTTTCAATTTGAAGTCATTTAGAGTTCATAATACTAGAGTCAAAGTGTTGTTTTTTCATTTGACCAAATTTGACTTGGTCAAACTTACTCAAATGAGACACTAAATGACCTCAGATGAAAAAACTCTGAATACCAAGTTTGATCATCTCAGCAAGATATACAATTGTTACATAGCTCATTTTCCCATTTGAGAAAGTTTTATCAAACACTAGTCACAAATTCTTGAATCTCATATAGACTTTCTGAAATTATGTCACACACTTGTGAAATTTGAACTACATTTTGTTCAAACTTTCTCAAATGAAAAAATAGCCTATATAAAGATTGTAGATCTTGATGAGCTGAACAAACTTGGTATTCAAAAACTTTTCAATTTGAGACAATCTAGGGTTCCGAAAACTAGTTTGTAAGCATCGAAATTTAAAAATCACAAATTTGAACCATCCAAACTATCTCAAATGGAAAGTTGACCAAAACAAGAATTGTAGATCTTGATGAGTTGAACAAACTTGGTATTCAAAACTTTTCAATTTGAAGTCATTTAGAGTTCATAATACTAGAGTCAAAGTGTTATTTTTTCATTTGACCAAATTTGACTAGGTCAAACTTGCTCAAATGAGACACTAAATGACCTCAGATGAAAAAACTCTGAATACCAAGTTTGATCATCTCAGCAAGATATACAATTGTTACATAGCTCATTTTCCCATTTTTGAAAGTTTTATCAAACACTAGTCACAAATTCTTAAATCTCATACAGACTTTCTAAAACTATGTCACACACTTGTGAAATTTGAACTACATTTTGTTCAAACTTTCTCAAAATGAAAAAATGGCCTATATAAGGATTGTAGATCTTGAATCCATGACCATGACTCCATGAGACCCATGAAGCAATGTGCTTGGCTATTTCTACTCATGCCGCGAAGATTGGTGTTTATATGATGTTTGATGTATGATGTATCTGTATCTTTATCTTATTTGTTGCTTTACTCTTTAGTCTTTCGGCTTAATCTAGATGGATTATGGACTCATAGAGTGGTGTAATGGTTTACATGCATGATATGATATATATATATATATATATATATATATATATATATATATATATATATATATATGCTGCTTTTACTCAATATCCGAATAGATATTTGTATCCGACCTTCTCCGAATCCGATTCATACCGTATTCGATACTCATTATTCGTATCCGTAACCGAGTCAATCCGTATTCGTATATGTATCCGAACGCTATCCGTGTCCGAATCCGAATCCGAACAGAAATATGAAAACAAATATAATATGAGTGATATCCGTTCGTATCCGATCCGTTTTCATCCCTAAATAAGAGTGACTTGAATTGAAATTCCCAATGGGCATGTTGTGGATATATGTGTAGGCCCCGATATTAGGTATGGTAGCCTGCCGCTATATGGTGTCATTAGGCGCTAGCTAGCTAGGTGGACACTTTCTCCTTAATCTTAACTAAGACAGCGAATTCGTTGAGCTTTGGAGCATTGTCCGTGTGAGCAACTTATTCAAGTTAGCAGAAAACTTCTCTGAAGATTCACTGCCAGGGAAAGCACGTACACACACCTTACAGAAAGTTGCGGCATTCAGTTTCCTTTGAAATGTAATGCCTGTTTATTTACTGAAAACTTTCAGATTGTTCCAAGTAAGCAACAGTTGCGACATAGCAAGAATTTTATGCGTACTGATACATTAATTCTTCATCATTTCTCAGTCCTTAATTCACGGGCAATTTTATATTCAATCTTTATTATAGCTGAAGTTTTATGAGTGCCTGAGGACTTCTCTCAGGTCTTATTCAATGGTTTCTTAGTCACCATTTACTGAACTAGCTTTCAGAACATCTGTGCCACCACTTGTGGCCGACAGAAACATGCATGATTGACAATTTTTTCTATGTCGTTATATAATTCCTATCCTTTTCACACCCTTTCTTCTTTCAATAAATATCACCCATTTTACTTTACTGTTTCTGATTTTTCTTATTTGTTTTCAGCTTTACCGATATCATCGCTATTTCCCTTCTTGTATTTTATGGTATGTATATATTTTGCTCTCTTTTTCTTGTTATTCAGGGCTTCGTGTTATATATATTGCAATAATTAGCCAGTACAATGATGCTGATTTATTTGATACCTCTCTCCTCTACCAGTGCACGTTAAGTGCCTTTACTTAATATAAAGTGTCCATGTTGTCTCTTACTATTTTACAGATAAGAGATCTGGGGGTTGCTAAAACAACAGAAGATATCGGGTTCTACGCTGGTTTCGTAGGTTAGTTTTGACGAATTGCTCGATCAAGTTCAGCATGGTTTTGTTTGGTTTTCACAAATGGTTAATGTCTTGTGATTGAGATGAGCAACTCCATATGCTGGATGTTTCCAGGTGCCTCATTTATGTTTGGTAGATGCTTGACTTCAACAGCCTGGGGTATAGCAGCTGACCGTATCGGGAGGAAACCTGTTGTCGTGTTTGGCATTTCCTCTGTGTTAGTAACATTTTACCTCCATTCTATGTAAAACTAAATGATGACTAACTGTGCATTTGTTTACTCCTGTCCTTTTCTTATTCAAATACTTGAGTCTCTGAGTTAAATCTTTTTAATGTCCCAGGGTTGTGTTCAATACATTGTTTGGTCTGAGTGTCAACTATTGGATGGCAATAGCTACGCGATTTCTGCTTGGTGCTTTAAATGGTTTGCTTGGACCAATAAAGGTATAGTGATTTCGTGAGCTCTTTTATGTTAGAAGATAGATGTGATATACACATATCATTAGTAACGATACCCGATTTTTTACAGGCTTATGCCATTGAAGTTTGCCGACCTGAACATGAAGCGTTAGCACTATCACTTGTAATATACAATTTTTATATTGATTTGCTACTATGTATTTTCTTATTTCAATGATTTTGAAATTCACCTTCTTGTAATTTTAGGTCAGCACAGCATGGGGAATAGGTCTCATTATTGGTCCTGCTCTTGGAGGTTATCTTGCACAGGTACTTCTTTTATTTTTTTTCTTCAAATCCAAAAAATTCTCTTCTTTAACAATCTTAAATTATATCTAATTGTCGATCATAATCTGGTTAACTATGTGGCAGCCTGCAGAAAATTTTCCAACTGTCTTTTCAACTGACTCAATCTTTGGAAGGTATCTTTTCACATAGCAAAACTAGATAATCTCAAATAATTCACTTACATAGTACTTATTTTGTATGGAAACTTGTCAGGTTCCCATATTTCTTACCATGCTTATGCACATCAATCTTTGCTGCTGTTGTTCTCATAAGCTGCATATGGATGCCGGTATGTGGGATTGCTTATTCATTAACCATTTCCATACCTATTGAACCAAATTTTGATTCCTCCCCTGCCCATCTTAAAGCATCTCACAATGTATTTTAGGAGACTTTGCACAAGCACAAAGTTCATGAAAATAGAAGTCAGAACATTGAAGCTTTGGAGGCCCATCTGATTGATTCAAAAGAAAAGGTTGAAGAAAGTGGTAGTTCAGATACTAAGAAGAGCCTATTCAGGAATTGGCCATTGATGTCATCAATAATTGTCTATTGCATCTTCTCCTTCCATGACATGGCTTACACAGAGGTATTTGCTTTTTGTTTGTTAATTATGACACTGAAGTTTTGGAACTTTTGAGTACATGCTTTAACAAGCTTGGTAGAATTAATGCATGTTATGAACATAATTGCTCTATTCAAGACTAGAAGGATTTACTCTAAACTATGGTATATCTATTTTGCTAACTAGTTATTTGAATATGCGTCTGTTCTGAAAAGTAGAATTTTAACATGGATCCTATTAAACATCGGTTGCTGTCAGCCAAGAAAATTTTGTCTTGCAGCCTAAGGGTGGTTTGCATTGCTGTGAATATCTGTTATTTCTTCTTGTTTTGCATCGTACAAATATCCTTCTGTACCAACATATAACTGTTGTATTACTTTATTTATTAGAAAGCTACCACAAGTTATGTAAATGTATGCTGTGTGCTCTCTATTACAGTACCTATCTAGAGGAAATTCTAGCATGTTTCGGAGCACTAATAAAAACTAACTCTAGGTGTTCTCTCTATGGGCTGAAAGTGACAAGAAGTATGGTGGACTGAGTTTATCATCTGAGGATGTTGGTCAAGTTCTTGCAATCTCAGGTAAATTTCTCACTGTTGTTAGCGTTATTAACTTGCAGAAACGCATTGTTCCTGCGTATTCGAGAAAAAAAAAGAAACGCGTTGTTGTCTAAAGTTCATGTTATAATTGTACCTACTCACCTTTTGACTTGTATACGAAAAAAGAGAAAACTTAATCATTCCCTGACGCTGAACATAATTGTCAAATTCTGTCATCAGTCCAGTTCCATCATTGTGGTTCCCAAAACTTCGTGCACCACTTTTTTGTTATTTGTCGTACCAGCATTTACAGTAGTTTACATCTTCCATTTCAGGTGCCAGTCTTCTTGTATATCAACTCTTTCTATATCCTAGTATCAATAAGGTTCTTGGGCCTATCAAATCTTCTCGAATTGCAGCTGTGAGTAAAATATTTCGTTATTTAATTATTGAATTCCTTCTGTTCTCGCAGCATATCTTAACTGCTGTGCTTGACCTTGCAGATCCTGTGCATACCTATCCTCTTTGCCTACCCCTACATGACATACCTGTCAGACCCTGGATTATCAATCATTTTGAATATTGCGTCAGTGATAAAGAATAATCTTGCTGTGAGTATTTCTTTTGTATCTTTTCATACTTGTTTGAACTTTCAGATTCAAATAAGTACATAGACGGCAATTTTGGTACATTTAGAGAGTCTACAATTACTCTGCTCTGAAGAAAGGAAAAGAAAATAAACTCTGTAGTTACTGCAGATGGTTGGCATATATCAGCCATGTAGATCATATGTACTTAAAAAAATTCCTCAAAAACAAGATCATGTGTACTTTCCCATAACATAGGAGATCACACCTTTTTTTTCTTTTGGAGAATAAGGGGTTTTGCTATTTATTTTTTCTTGCTGTATTGAAGTTTATTTGATTTTAACTATTTTCATCAATTGGTGTGCAATATTAGGTTACCATCATTACAGGCACTTTCATCCTTCAAAATAATGCTGTGGTATGTATCAATTTATTCAGCTCAATTTGAACAATATGTTAAAACATCTGTCCTGCTAATCTGTGATTGACTGATGGTCATGCAATTAATAACAGCCTCAGGACCAAAGAGGAGCTGCAAATGGACTGTCCATGACAGGGATGTCCTTTTTCAAGGCACTTGCTCCAGCAGGAGCTGGCATTGTGTGAGTATAATCTGTTCCTTACAGCTACCCTTAATTTTCTGTACGAACCCTTACGGTTTTAGTTAAAATAAACTTGCTATCCACATTACTGCTTTGACAACTATGCTTAAATGGAATGTGCTTGGAGCTTCAAAAGTAGGAGTCCTGAGGTGCAGTGCATTTTGAATTTAACTAGTGTTCCACTGTTGCTAAATTTAAGCTTCACAAGTAGGAAGCTGAGCTGCATTTGTACTTCTAATTTAGGGTCAGTTATGGCCATGTCACTGCAACTTCGCCAGCTTAACTAGTGCTCCACAGCTGCTAATTTAAGCGTGGAAAGTAGGAAGGCTGAGGTGTACTGTGCGTTGGATCTAGCAGCTTTACTAGTTTGTTGGAGAATGATCTGCTGCATGTGAGACATGGATTGCACCTGATTGTTTGTGTATGAATTCAGGTTCTCATGGGCACAGAAACGCCAGCATGCCTTTTTCTTTCCAGGTAAAATTTGTTAACCTCTTATGAGAAGAAAAGTTCCAGATCCATTTCGTGTTCTTTTTGGCATGGCGTATATTTGTCTCACATAACTTTCCTTTGCTCCACTCATACAGGTGATCAGATGGTATTCTTCCTCCTGAACGTCATCGAGCTGGTTGGGCTTCTCCTCACATTCAAACCCTTTCTGGCAGTACCAGAGCAATTTGAGAGCAGATAGTTGTTCCTTGAATGAACTATGAAAATTTTTGGAATATTCAAAATTAATCATGTACGGCTGTACCAGTGAGGAGAAGGCTGAAAGCACGCCCTTATGCCGCGAAGGTCTACAGAGACCTAGGAAGAAGCAAGAAGTTGTGTACTTTTAATTGTAAGTGTAAGTGGTGTATGTAGTATCAACATTTCTGCATAGGAAATGCACATGTAGGTGGTAATTAACTGTGGCCAGTGGATCGAGTTGCTGCGCTGTAAGTAGTAATAATGTAAGGTTCAGCGACTCGAAATTATTTGTTTGAAATTAGTAGGCATTTGTACCATTTTTGTTTATCTGGTTGTTGGATTCTCTTAATTCTTCTGAGTAATCATTTGCATCGTGTCAGAAACACCAATGAAGGGACTAAGGGAGGACATCCTGATTCATGAAACTGTAATGCCATTTCTGTTAGATAGAAGAAGGGAGGGGATTCTAAAACTGTTGAAGCAAAAATTGTAGCTTGGCCCTTTTAGCAAATGAGACCCAGCTTGGAACACATGAGGACAGCCTTCTTTTTTGAAGAGCCAGCGACACAAATATGCCGGGCATGCATTAATAGAGAAGATGTAATTGCAATACATAAAAAAAAACCTCATGAAGGAGGCAACAACAACCCAACTGCTGCAATAAAACACAAAGCCCATGATCCTCAGTCAGGCGATGTAAACTAGAAGGGGGAGTAGCTTTCTACAGCAATGCCTTCAAAGAGGGGAACGACATCCGTAGATATTGGGCTTTATCTGTGCATAAGTGTGTAAGGCCCATGAGCCCATGAGCCCATGTACCATATATATATATATATATATATATATATATATATATATATATATATATATATATATATATATATATATATATATAACACTAAGTAAAGACATGAGTGAAGAGTTCCATAAAATTTCCCAAATTTCAGCATGTTGTCGGAGCCGATGGTGGTGGCGATGGAGGCGACCCCCTGCTTCACCTAGTCGGCGTGACAGCAACCAGCGGCCGACGGCGAGGTGTTGGGAAGAGCAGCAAGGCAAGAGCGACAGGTGAAGCTGAGGGCAGCAGCAGCCTTGCTGGGCAGAGACGTCAGGTGAGGCCGCGAGGCTATAGGGGCGGAGCACGAGAGGCAGGGCGTGGCAGACCGTGCGCAAAAAGAAGAGCGCTGTGTCCCCTGGCTGGAGGTTGGTGACGACGGCCGCAACGCAGAGAGGGAGCTCACGGAGGCTGCCCGTGGAGAGGCGTGTGCTCAAGCTTGTGCTGTGTGTGGATTGGGAGCTGCAGCAGCAGGAGGAGAAAGCAAGCAAAGCAAGAGCTAGAAGAAGCAGCAGCACGTGAAGCAGCTGGACGGGATCTAGAAGGAGAGGCAAGTTCTGAGGAGATTGAGGTGCGTGTGCTTGTGCTCTTCCTGTGCTGTTGTGTTGCAGAAGGAATTATTGCCTGGGTTGTGTGCGTGTACATCCTAGGAGTGGATTTATGAGGAGCTGGACTGCAGAAGGTAGAGGAGGCTATTGGAGGGATTGCAGTGCTCTGCTTTTTGGTCTCGTGAGTAAAAGAACTGCAGGTGCAGAAGGCATTGGAGCTGCTGCTATACCGTTCATCTGTTCTTCAGTTGTGGAAGCTAGAAGAAGAAGGCCTTGGCAACATTAAATCATGGGGGGAAATCAAGAAATCATGGAAGTTCTTGGTATATTATCTGAGCTAGAAAAAATGGTAAAGTTACTCATTGTGAAAATCAGTGAGATATCATCCTCAAGTAAGAAAACTATGGAGAAAATGGAGATGATACAAAAGTTGGCGTTGATGCCCATGGGTACCAAGTTTGAAGATCTTCATGCTGAAGCTCTCTCATGCATGAAGAGAGCTCAACATGGATGGATATTGGACTCTGGTGCTTTCAAACATGTTACTGGTGCTCCTGATGAGTTTATATCTTACACACCATATCCATCTACATATAAGGAGACCATTCAAACTGCTGATGGGACATGTCAACCTATCAAAGGCAGTGGTACTGTCAAGTGTATCCCATCAATTACTCTATCATCAGTTTTGCATGTCCCTTCTTTTCCTGTTAATCTAGTATCATTAAGTGCATTAGTTGATCAAATAGACTGCCGAGTCTCTTTTGATCAAGAGCACTGTCTCATTCAAGACAGGAGGATGGGAAAGGAAATTGGAATTGGCATTAGGCATGGTGGATTATGGTACCTGGACGGGAAGGAAAATGGTAAGTTTTTGGGTGCTGCTTTAGCAACAAGCATGAATGAAGATGAAGCTAAGGTGATGCTTCAGCATTGTCGACTGGGGCATTTGTTATTTGATACTATGGCCAAAGCATTTCCAGAAATAATGACTAAGACAGATAAGAGGAAACTAGTATGTGATGCATGTGAGTATGGGAAGCATACAAGAGCAACGTATGTAATTAGAGGACTTAGGAGTATAACTCCATTTATGCTAGTTCATTCTGATGTGTGGACGAGCCCAGTCACCTCAGTTAGTGGGATGAAGTATTTCGTCACCTTTATTGATTGCTATTCACGTGTGACTTGGATCTATCTCATAAAACACAAGAGTGAAGTACTTGAGTGCTTTTAGGATTTTTACTCACTTATTGGAAATCAATATGATGCTCGAGTTAAAGTGTTGAGAATAGATAATGGAATGGAGTATATGAACAATGAATTCTGTAGTTTTCTATTAGCTCAAGGGATCTTACACCAAACTACATGTCCTGATACACCTCCACAAAATAGAGTTGCTGAGAGGAAAAATCGTCATATCTTGGAGGTTGCACGTTCACTTATGTATGCTATGAATGTGCCAAAGTTTCTATGGAGTGAGACAGTGATGACAGCAGTATATTTGATTAATCATACGCCCTTGAGATTGCTTGGTTAGCAAACTCCTTATGAGATGTTACGAGGAGTGAATGAGTTTATTGTTCCACCTAAGTTATTTGGGTGCACTTGCTTTTGTTAGGGATCACAGACCTTCTGTGGGAAAGTTGGACCCCCTGAACAGTTAAGTGCATATTTGTGGGTTATTCCTCAAGTCAAAAAGGCTACAAGTGTTGGTGTCCTACTAAACGGCGTCTCTTTGTTAGTATGGATGTGACATTTCGAGAGTCTGAGCCTTACTATGGGGAGAAGACTGATTTGAGCTCCTTGTTTGAGCTTGGTGAACCAAGCATGAGCGTGTATGAACAAGAGGGGATGGATGGCATAGATGTAGTACAAGATAATGAAGGTCATCAATCAAGGGCAACAAAAGTTATCACAGGAGTGATTCCATTGCTTGTAAGTAATTCTAATGTGAATAAGAGACAGGAAAACATAAATGTTAATAACATGAACACAAAGCAAGGAAATAGAAATATTGTGCTGGTTTATACTAGAAGAAATAAAAATGTTGGAGTGCTACCAGTGGAGCAACAAGTTGAGCAACCACAATTGGTGGAGCAACAAGTTGAGCAACCACAACTGGTGGAGCAACATGTTGAGCATTTGCAACTATTGGAGCAACAACAATCTTCAACTAGTGGCATTGACATTAGTGATAGTGGGGTTGAGCAGTCCACAGAGACAGGGGGAGAAGTTGACTCTTCCATTGATTTGCCTATTGCTCTAAGAAAGGAGGCATGGAGTACAGTTGGGAAACCTCCAGTTAAGTATGGATTTGAGCATGACATAAGTAATTATGTCTCATATGAATCATTATCTCCTGCATATAGAGCATTTATTGCTTCATTATAATATGCACATATTCCTAAAGATTGGAAAGAAGCAAAGCATGATCCCAAGTGGCGTGAGGCCATGTTGGAGGAGTTGAGAGCCCTTGAAAAGAATAAAACTTGGGACCTTGTCAAACTACCTCTAGGAAAGAAAGCTGCTAGTTGCAAGTGGATCTTCACTATGAAGCAAACACCTAAAGGTAAGATCAAAAGATACAAAGCTCGACTTGTTGCAAGGGGGTATAGTCAGACATATGGCATTGACTATGATGAAACATTTGCACCCGTGGCAAAGATGAGTACAGTGAGAACTTTGGTTTCTTGTGCGGCGAATTTTGGATGGCCATTGCATCAATGGATGTCAAGAATGCTTTCTTGCATGGTGATCTTCAAGAGGAAGTGTACATGGAGATTCCACCTGGTTTTTCTAATCCTAGGGCAATTGGGAAGGTGTGCAAATTGAAAAAGTCCTTGTATGGTCTCAAACAATCTCCACGAGCATGGTTTGATAGATTTAAGCATGCACTGTGTGGTATGTGATACAAGCAGTGCAATGGAGATCATACTGTCTTCTATAGACATTCAGGGTGCAAGATTTCGGTGTTGGCTGTGTATGTGGATGGTATTATCATTACGGGTGATGATGAAAGAGAGATCATACGACTCAAGGAAAATCTAAGTAAGGAATTTGAGGTCAAGGACCTCGGGAAACTCAAGTACTTTCTTGGCATTGAGATTACACGGAATCCAAAAGGTATTGTTCTTTCACAAAGAAAGTATGTTCTAGACTTGCTAAGTGAGACAGGCATGCTTGGATGTCGACCAGTATCAACACCGATTGATTTAAATCACAAGTTATGTGCCGAATCAAGTAATCCAGTAAATAAAGAAAGATACCAAAGGCTTGTTGGGCGCCTTATCTATTTGTGCTATACGAGGCCTGACATATCCTATGCAATGAGTGTTGTGAGCCAGTATATACATGACCCAAGAGTGGTCATTTGGATGTTGTTTACCGAATCCTAAGACATTTGAAAAATAGTCCGGGAAAGGGGCTCCTGTTTAAGAGTCACGGTCACCTAAATGTGGAAGGCTATTGCGATACTGATTGAGCAAGTTGTCTTGATGATCGGAGATCAACTTCAGGCTATTGCATATTTGTTGGTGGAACTTAGTGTCATGGAGGAGTAAGAAGCAATCAGTAGTATCACGTTCAACTGCCAAAGCAGAATATAGAGCTATGTCT